GCATTAAAATGGACATCTCATCATGTTCGCTTATACCCCCGTCACACTTGACCAGAAAATGTACAATGTCGCCGGCAAACGCGAACACAACGCGAGAAAAAGTCCCAACAAATTACAAACTTGAAAAAAAACCGCGCTCTTACCGCGACCTGTGCGATCATACCGCGTTCTCACGGCGCGCCCGCCACGACCTCTCCGCGCTTATGGCGTTTCTATTGAGATCTATGGGCTTGGCAACGGCGATCACCGGCGTTCCTGCGGCGTTTTCACCACGCTCATGGGGTTCTTACCACGCGTCTTCTACGTGTATCGCGACTGCACGGCGACCTCACGGCGTTTCTAGCACGTTCTCACGGCGACTATATAAGCTGGTCCGATTTTGGGAAATTTTAACTGTATAGTTGTGCGTTTGCTGAGTAGAAACACGATGTCGAAGAGACAAGCTACTAGAGGCCGAGGCCGTGGCCGTGGCCGAGACAGATCGGCATGAAACAGATCTGCAGATCGGATGAGATAGATCCATGAATTCGCCGTTGCAAATGTTGCCATTTTCGCAGCGTCTTTGCCACGCGTGTACTGCGCGTGTACTACGTTTATGGAGATGTTACGAAGCTTGTCTCACGACCTTCGTTCTCACCGCGTCCCAGGTCAGATCGCCGAACCTTGGCGTTTGTTTTGAACATGCTCAAAACAAACGCCGTGACTCGGCGATCATTGGCGACCATGGCGACCACAGGCACTTGAAGCGTTTCAACTGTAAACACACGCCGCCGCCATTGCGCGCACACTGACACATAAATATATAGTGTGTCATTTATATATGACACACTGTCCCTATATATTTATGTGTCAGTGTGCGCGCAATGGCGGCGGCGTGTGTTTACAGTTGAAACGCTTCAAGTGCCTGTGATGGCGACCACACCACGATGTCTGGCGTTTCCACCACGCTTATACCACGCTTATGGCGACCTTGGCGCGCTCTGGGCCCATTTTCCGTCGCCGTAGCAGCGCAGTAAGGACGCCACCCCGGTGTGACGGGGGTATAAGGACGCCACCCCGGTGTGACGGGGGTATTATGGACGATGGACGATGGAGCTAAGAAACGATGGAACGTCAACATGGTGGCATGTGAATATATTTTATGCTAGCCGTGTACCGTGGTAAGGCTAGCAAACTCACCCCCGGACCCGAAAAATCTTATCCGTGCGAAGTCTGCCACTGAAACAAATAAGCAGCTCGGTCGTCGTGGCGCTATTCTCTATGAAGTGTCAGAAGGTTCCAAAGTGACCGAGCGAGCGCGTTATATTGCATGCTGGTGTGTTACAGGCTGTAAATCCGTCACCGTGCACACAAGCGCCTACGACGCTGCAGAAAAGGCGCACGCGGTGGTCGTCTGCACAGAATGGGACGAGTTCCAAGTGAGTACTATGCGCTCTAACCGAGACAGACTGGATACGTCTAGAAAACAGGATGACCACTTAGTGTCAGTTCTACTTCCAACGCTTCCATCTTTTGCAGTGGTTGCGTTTTCAATTTCAAAACACTTTATGCAATCTGGTTATCAGAGTCGTCGATAGGTGGCGGTAAACAACGGATCTGCGCAGAGCCGTATATAGAGATACAGCTCTCTATATACGGCTCTGGATCTGCGTAGCAGTGGCAAAGAGTGGTTAAACCCGTGGGTTTACATTATATATATTGTATATTTTTCAGCCCACGGCTTTATACTCTCTGTCAGTGTTCCGTACGAATATCCACTCCGTACTTGACACCTCGAGTATAATTAAGATCGTGAATGATACTACTCATCAATACATCGATAATTGATTAATCAGCATGCACCGTCAGTGTTCTGATGTTTAAAACCACGATCTCCCCCCCCCCTTTCACAGGAGCTGGACTACAACCGCATCTACAAGAACATGCTGAAGCCAGCATTCCTTTTCGATGGCCGCTCGTTCCTCGACCACAGCTCATTGCGTAGCGTCGGATTCCAGGTGGAATCCATTGGAAAGCGGTTTACGCGACCACCCGTGAACAGAATGCACGCTCACTGGCATGTGTAGTCATATATAATAGATATAATCCCTATTATCTACTCTTGATAATATCAAGAGTACATAATAGAGACTATCTATTATGTACTCTTGATAATATATATCAAAATATTATTTCACACTGTCGCAGGGGTACCATATCACTGCTATCGTAAACGCAACGCTGGCAGTCAATGCACGATTATTATTATTTGTAATTATTTCTACCGAGAGGTAGCGCAACGACATCATCTTTTAATTTAATTACAACAACATGTCTACGGCTTTTTTTAGATATAGTTGTTCATGTAGGTTCTATATAATGAACTAAGTGCTGTTGGTTTATGTGAGAGCATTGACCGTTGCTCGGTGAAGATGTTTTAGTAGCGATTCTAAGTCACAACACCAGATTATCTCAACATTATGTCCCCAGAGACATTCATATACTTACAACCAAGTATGATACAACACACCAGTATTTTCGGTATAGCTGTTTAGTAGCTATTTTATGCATCTTCGTGTTTTAACACAAAGTATACGTACATTCTACGAATATGGAAAGGTGGTGTCAATTGATTCGAGAACAGACTTGGTGGGACTGTCAGTTTAAAATTTGTATCTATATAATAATTTGAGTAGTGTTGTTCTGTTTGTTCCTGCATAACTTATAGGCGTGTGCACGAATCCGGCTGAAATTTTTCGTGCTTCATTCCTACGCATCAGGTTCGATTCTAACACTTTGCTTTTTGTTATTTATTGGGTTTAATGTTTAAAAAAAACATATTTAGAAAATCTATTGGAAAATCTCCCCGGAAAACATGCACGATTCAGTTCACTTCCGCTAGGTGCGCTGGCGTAAACTTACAAACACCATAGATATATACAACACATACCCAACGACAGACTGATTCACAGACTATAACTAGACAGAGGGCACTCACGGAAAGTGCATACCTCCGCGAGCGTGTAACATGTATGTATATAACAGCTGGCTTGCTGCTGGCTGCTGACTGAACGCCCTAAGGCGAGCTGCTGCTGACTGGACGCCCTAATGCGAGCTGCTGCTGAATCGATCGCGCGAACACTAGTGGCTACACACACACACACACGAAGGCGAGCTGCTGCTGAATCGATCGCGCGAACACTAGTGGCTACACACACACACGAACACACACACGCGAGCGATTGCATGACCTCCGTTTGCGCGGAGGTAATGAATACAGTAGTCTATGACGTAAATGTACAGTGGTTACGCTGGGCACACGCAATGGCTGCAGTATCAAGTCCTCCTCCACCACATTGCTTGTGCTAAGCCCATACCATGTCTATATATATATTTACCCATACATATATATACCCATACTATCTATATATTTATGTATGTATATATATATATATATATATATATATTATAATATATGTGTGTGCGTGTGTGCGTGTGTGTGTGTGTGTGTGTGTGTATTTGTGTGTGAGCGTGTGTGTGTGTGTGTGTGTTTGCGTGTGTGTGTGTGTGTGTGTATTTGTGTGTGAGCGTGTGTGTGTGTGTTATAAATATGCACTGGTAGTGGGGAGCGAACTTGATTCTTCAAGCAGTGGGCACACGCGGCTTTGGCACCTGCTATAGTACTTATTATATGCGGGGAAGCATCAAGGTATGGTTTATATGTATAATTAAGAACTTTAGTAGCGTTAAATTGTTCACAAATAGATACAATTACTGCAAAGCCTAAACTCTTCATTCAATGACTACTATTCATTACTACAGTCGCACCCCGTTAGTACGAAACTGACGGGCCAAAGAAAAATAATCGTATTAAGCGGGTTCCGTATATTATATTAGCCTTAATTTGAAGAGAAAAACAATGGATTAGAAGGTGTGTACAAAGTGTTTTATATAGAAATGAATATACCGGGACAGAAAATTTTATGTTAGTAACAGGATCCGTGTATTATTGTCTTCGTATCAAGTCAATATTTTACTAAAAGATTACTATGAATCGGGCCGGGATTTAGAGAAATCATCGTATAGTCTCATCAGCGTAACGAGCGAATGTGGCCGCCGGAGGCGGCCATTTTGCGAGTGTGATTAATTTCAATACTCGAATTCAAGCGAAAAAAATGTCACAACGATTTCTTTTTGGGGTTGTATTAACGTTATAGAACTGGACAGTATTCTGTTTGTGCATGTGGTTTCTAGCTGTGTATACCGTCTACTACCTAGCTAGTGTTAATAAAGAGCTATAGGGCCTATGTGCGGAATATTACTGCAATGATAATATTAATTTGTGTACACTGTATCCTTATATATTTTCAATATAGTATGCGTAACATAGGGCGCATGTCGTTCGATGTTTTGTCGTATTTATATTTAAGAATTGTTGCTGTCCGTTATTACCTTACGCGTCGCAGGTCATAGGTGTCATGGGTCGATTATGCATTACAGTCTAAAGTAACGGACGCCGAAACTTAATAAATGCTCAACAACTATTGAGAAGCGCATAATTATATGTAAATATGTGGACTAAAGTACAACCTAAAGAATATTATGAAAACATGATCGGAAAAGCAACGTGCATGTTACTTGGTCGACCGCTGTCATATCTTTATCTTGACCTCTTGAACACAGCGCGCGATGAAGAGGAAAAAACGGTCGTCTAGCTGAGAGCATAGTTTAGTAACAATGTTAAACTGTCACGAAGCAATAATAAAGCTCATTGCTCCTTCATAGAACAGCATAAATAAATCCGTCTTGCGCCTCATTCTTCGCTCACTCTTCTGTTCTCAACGCGCACAACTTCGCCCAATTTCATGATTGCGAGGAAAGCGCTCATCGCGCCGGATTAAACCTAGATGGCAGCAAGCTAGCGACCCGTCCCCACTTTGCCATTTACACCCCAGGTTATACATGAATCAGTGCCCGTCTCACGTTCGTCACCAATGACGCTCGATGCTCGAGCAAGCATTACACGACTAGCCACTTCTTTGTACTAATCGCGTGAGCAGGAAACGGGCGCGTAAACCCGTCAAGTGGCATGCCATCCGTGCCCCGCCACCTCAGGAGACGTCGTCATTAATGACACAATTACGGCCCCGAGCAAACAACTTTCGGAAAAGAATGAAAACTGGCTGTTCAGCGGTTACGAGCGACACTCGCCGCTCCCAGAGTAACGGCGCTGCCCGTGTGCGAATGATAAATCATTCCCTGGTAACCTTGAGTCTCGTCTGGTGCGCGCCGGAGAGGCGATGATGATGAAGAAGAAGAAAAGGGAGGAGGAGGAAGAGGAGGAGGAAGAAGAGGAGAAAAAAAGAAGAAGAAGAAGAAAAAGAAGAAAAAGAAGAAGAATAAGAAGAAGATGATGGGGATGATGATGATGATGATGATGATGAGAGTGCGAAAGAAGGGGGAGAAATAGGGGAGAGTGTGAGAAGGAGACGGGCAGTACGAGAGAGCGCGCGCGCGCGCGCGCGCGCGAGAGAGAGAGAGAGAGAGAGAGAGAGAGAGAGAGAGATAGAGAGAGCTACTGCTCCCTAGATCGCAGCTGCTTCGTTCATCAATCACAAGATACGACCACCATTGGACAGAGTCTGCGCGCGGGTGTGTGAGTAGGGCGGTATAGGCGAACATGCGGGAGTACCGAGGCGACAGGTAGTTGTCCTTGGCCGTTGTCCTTGAAATTCGTGCATGCGTGCGTGCGTGCGTGCGTGCGTGCGTGTGTCCATGTGTCCATGTTGCCTGTGAATTTTTACAGAACCAATAAAGTCGTGAGCGTAATAACGAAAAGTAACTTCATGCACAGTCTTTCAAAGTATGTTCACTCCAACGGCTGCTCAGCTACTCATCCATTATCATATACATCAAATACGATACAACGAGACCAGCAGTATATGCGTGCGTGACGTGTAAACCATGCGATGTAAACACTGCTGCAATGTAGGCGCTTACGTAATGGCCAGATTTGCTCATCAAATATTTCATTTGGACACGGTCGGTAGGCGCTACCGGCGGCATGCGTCGGCTGGTCTATTCCAAACGTGTATTTGAAATGCCGAGGGGAAAACGACACAGCTCACAGCAGTGCGTTTTAAGAGCCCGCGAAGACGGAATTAGCACACAAAGACCCCCGCGTCCTTGGTATCTAGCAGCTTTTGGCGGCGGCGGCGGCGGCAGTAACACGCTCTCCTGCGTTTCTAACGAGATGTTCGCTCCGACGGGAGGCGAGGCGGCTCTATCAGGCGTTGCCTGCTGTGATGCGTGTGACGTGAAACCGATCTCGAAGCGGTGTAAACTAATCCGACACTATATATACACGAGATGAGAAGCAACTAATCACGATGGTGCGTCGAAAGGTGACAAGTGTAGCGCGTTACTAGCACGAGCAGCGGTAAACTTAGCGCGCCGAGCTGAACTGTTGGAGCTGATGAGCTAACGAGAAATATCGTTAGTCGATGGTTGTTGTGAGACACGGCGGGAAGACTCGATGAGAACCTCGTCTGCTAAGCTCGTCGTGGTTGTTTCCGTTTACGGCGCCATGTTTGTCGTGTAAATGTAACAAATTTACCAGGAGTACATAATAGCGATAGTACACATAATCTCTATTAAGTACATAACAGCGATAGTACACATAATCTCTATTAAGTACATAACAGCGATAGTACACATAATCTCTATTAAGTACATAACAGCAATAGTACACATAATCTCTATTAAGTACCTAATAGAGATAGTACACATAATCTCTATTAAGTACATAATAAAGATAGCATACATAATCTCGACGGAAGTCATCTGCTAGTGCTATGTCGTTTCGTGGTTATTAAGGTTTACGCCGCCATGTTTCCCGCTAGACACGTGACGGCGTGACTCACAACTAAGAGTTCGGGCTTGCGATACTATGATGATCTAAGATGAGGAAGTTAGGCTCGTATTAAGCTATTATCTTATTATGCATATTTAAATAGCAAATAAGTAGTGGAAAATGTTACATTATTGTCTGGAGTATATAATAGCGATAGTACACGCGATCCCTATTAAGTACATAATAGTATTCGTAATCTCTATTAGGTACATAATACAGATAGAACACGTAATTTCTATTAAGTATTCCTGATATTTTGTCAATTGTGGTTAACTCTGAAATGTAGCCAATGAAAAGATATCATCCGGTTACCTGGTGGTCGGCGCTAGTGTAATTATATACCTACGCTACCAAAGCGATGATTTAGCTAGTGCGAAAGTGCGTAGCTTCGCGCACGCACGTTTGAAAACCAGATGGAAGTTTAGCGCAAATCACAATTCACCAGTATAGAGTAGTGTATGATCTATAGAAAACCGTCTGAATAAACCATTCGACGTCATTTTTATTGAGCTTTACATAAAGAAGAGACAACTGGCTAAGAAACAAACTAAATACTATTTATGTCTACTTAGACTCACCCACACACCCACACACCCACACACCTACACACTCAGACACTAAAACACAGGCGCACACACACACACAAACAAACACTCACTCACGCGCACGCACGCACACGAACAAGCTAAAGTATATTTCTTATTTACAAGCATTTAACGCGACTCGTTACACAATACTGTTTTTATGTGAGCATAATTGGGAAGACACACTTACTATACGATCCGCGCCGATCTCTAGTCAGATCCCCAGACGGGTTACACACAACTATTACTCGCACGCAACGCTGTCCTCTTGTTATGAATCAGGGCATGCTAGTGAATGTCAATCTGATTTCACGTCCGCCATTACACTACTAATAGCACTTTAGGTTTGGAGAAAGGGGGGATGAATTGCTCGTCTGCCCAGCCAGCACCGCACGCTTCAATTACGATGCACGATTTCATTACGAATACGGTGTTAACTAATTTCACCAGCTACAAGACGCAGAAGCCTTGAACGTATAGCATGCCTCAGGTAAACACCTTGCTGGCACGCACACATACGCACACACACACACGCGGCTACATTATACTCTGTACTACCGAGGTTTACCCGAAAAAAACTCGAATTAAATTTAAGCGACAATTTGATAGCGGTTACACAGTCACATGTCGTCAGAATACGAGCACGAATATAATATAGACTACACTGGCGTCGAGCTGTCTCCCTATGTGAGACTGCATGACTGCAGTACTCATCATTAACGTTTAATTATGCGCAGGCAAAGACCGCCAACGAGGGCTTGCTAAAATCATCGTTAGAGGTATCGTTAGCGGATGAGGTAGTTGGTACTAGTCAAATACGTGTTAGACAACTGCACTGGTTTGCCCTCAAGGTAGTACGTAAAAAAATTGCCCTATTTCTACATCGTAAATTTGTTTCTACTTATCACTTCTATTCCAGATATTCCTTTGAAAATCATATCTAGGTTCTTGATATTACCGTATTGAAGTCAAGCTACAGAAATCCTTGCGCTGGGTGAAATAAGTTATACTATATCGTTGAAGTAGTCATCGTGAAATACTGGACCAAGGAACTGCTCTCTCCGTGCCGGACGAATAAAATTCCTGAAAATAAACATATAATAAAAATATAGAAAATGCTGCTAATACGAATGCAACGCAAACCTAATCTACTGACGGTCATTCCCCCTTTGACACCTTGCATTGGGCCTTATGCATGTTAAAAATCATCGACGCCTGAGCTCTTGCAAAAGAGTTAAAGGTAGTAAATTACACAAGCTAACGGGTGTAGAGTTTAGTATTCGATTACTTCAACGTCGTTTGTGCATCGGTTGCACATCGGCTGCAGAACAACAGATCGGACCAATCGGCAGCGCGCATGCGCGGGTATTGCTAGCCTGCAACCGTGACCACCTTGATTCATATCGGCCCTCTGTTACGACGGGAACTGACAGAATACATTTAGATCTTGATGATGCCCCTGACAGAGAGTTTAAAACCTCTTCTCGATTACTAGATCAACTAGTGCGGAGCGTGAATTTACTCGAAAGCCAAGTGGTTCACATTATGACATTTAGAGGACGCTTTTTTCATCGACGACACGTTAAAAACAAGGCCGGTTCTTTGCGTAGGCGAAGCGCGTTAAGATCGAATGTTTAGCCTACCTAGTCGACACGTCGATTTTCCTTCTCCTGGTAAAAGGTCTGCTGCGTGGGTGCGATCGCCTTCTGTGCTGATACGTCAGGCGATGGCCCTCGCCGAACAGATAAACGAATTTGCTAGGATCGACGGCGTGCACGTACGCGTACGGGTGCGGCACGTATCCGGAATAGCTCTGCGCACTTCCGCTGGCCTCCTCCACCAGCGACAACTAAAACGACCGTGTTCATGTTATTGTCGACAGCTAGCACACAAAACCGTAGTGTATATTTACATGTATTGTAGCTCTTAGCGCATAGTTATTGTGCGCTAGATAGCGCAGTATGCATATAGTATTATATTATCAAGAGCTAATAAACATCTATTTATTAGCTCTTGATATTATGGGTATACTATGGGTATGGTACATATATATAGTATATCTAAGTATATGATATATATATATATATATATAGTACATATATAGTACATATATAGTACGTGTATAGTACATGAAACCGCTCAAAAGACACGCACACAAAAACGCCAGAAGTATTCCCACCGAATAAAAAATGGTCGATAATACCTTCCCCTCCCCCCCCCTTTCAAATAAAAGATAAACACGGAGTAGAATTAATGTTGCGAAACGTTTGCGCTGTTCGTGACCAAGCCTTGAGGCAAGCTCATGCGATGCACCAACACAGAATGTCTATTTAAGAATCACCCCGGTAGGTGATATGCGCCAGTGGCAGCAAATTAACGCAAAAGAAATAACGACGAAACGGCGCGAGATCAGGTTAACGGGGGTGACCTTGCCGGGGGGAGGTAACATCCGCCTCTGCATCGTTTACGTATCTGTGTTGTTTATCAGCGTCAACAACACGTCTGTTCGTCAAGCATGCTCAGAAGTCAGAGCCCTCTGGCGGTAATAAGACATTAATCCAGCAGTTTGACGGCTAATAATTTTCGTCAAAAAAATCTATCATCGAAATCACGTGTCATCGTGTCGTGTGCAGGTGGAAAACATGCGCAGATGACGTCAGCAATGTAATTGACACGCATTGAGACAATATATTTCTGCAAATCCGTGTAAAGATAATTTCGTGATGACGTCATTGCGGCTAATATTCCAACAGAACGTCGACTCTCACAGCGTAGCAGTCGTGAGCAACGCATGACAATTCCGCGGTCGGCGGAAATCGTCGGCGTTCGCCATAATAGAATGAAACGCTTAGCGGCGAAACATACGACTGCGCCAAGGAATCTGTTTCACTGACGAAACCCTTCGTGGGATCGAGCAGATCATTGCATACCGTCTAACGTATTTCGCATCGAATGCACGCATTATTTGACACTTCATGCACAATGTCAACTATTTACCTTTCATCAAACTTTTATACCTTATGGCAACCCACAGTAAGTGACTCGATTAAGAGACTACTTATATTTTTTTTTTTTTTATATATATATACTTTTACAATATTTTTTACGACATGCACTTTAAAAATAACTTACCACTGCGAAAAGGCAGACAATGCTGATCACAACCAAGGCACGCATCTCGATCAATGTATATCGCCTGAATAGAGAAGCAGAAATCTCCGTCAGCGATACAGTAAAAGTGTCTTACCGTAGCTTCTTCTTCCGCCGTAAACGAGAGAGGATGCGGTGATGTAGTGAGACAAGAAATCGAGTTAGTTTCGACAATGTGAATCTGGTGCATCTGTGCGTAAAAAATTTACTCCCGCGTTTTTTCTCACTCTTTCTCTCTCACTCTCTCTCACTCTCTCTCTCCTATCACTCTCTCTCTCTCTCTCTCTCTCTCTCTCTCTCTCTCTCTCTCTCTCTCTCTC